ATGACAGGCTCTGTCCCTGTCTGTTTTCTTTGTATTTGTTTGTGTTCCCCACTCTGCTTTTTGTGCTCTTGTAGTTCTGCTCTTTGTGTGGTTTCTGTTCCTGTGTATCTGGTCCTGTTTTCCACTCACTCCTCAGTCTGCCTCTCCACTCCTCAGTCTTTATCATTCACACCTGTCCCTCATCAGCCACCTGCCCAGGTGCTCTCATTACTCAATCTCCCTCTGTCTTATAAAAAGCCTTTCTCTCCTCCACTCCTGGTCCGGTCATTGTTCTGTATTCACAGACATCTCAGTCCTCCTCTGTCCTGTCTGTTTTTGTCCACCTGATGCTCTGCCTGTGTACTCTGATGTCCTGTTCAGCCTTGTTTTTGATCCTGTTTTGCCAGAGTAAGTTTTGCTGCACCGACAGCCTTTTGTTTTGTTGTTTAAATAAATTATTTTTATTTAAACTCCTGCCTCGCTCGCCTCCCTGCAAATGGGTTCCAACTATGAGGATTGTGATACAGAAAGCATCAAATGCACATGTGTTCTGGACAGATATTGTTAATTTTCCAACTTTAATAGGTTGATGCAGGTTTCCATTTTTTAATAGTCCCACTTTCACTCTTTTTCCCCGAACAGATGGATCTGCATGGAGCCATTCAGTGCAGGAAGTAAGATATGAAGTCCTCTTCCTTTTTTTCGGTGGAAGAATTAGTCCCCTCCAGTTTTCTACCACATCTTCATCTGTTGGCGGAATGTTTGTTTCATCAAGTTCTGGAGAATGGTGAGAATCTATTCTTCTCTTGGCTTCAGCACTGTGGGTGCTCATGGAAGCAGAGTTTGTTTCTGAAACTTTTGTTAATCCAGCTATTTCATGTTTTACTTTTCCAGAACAAATCCTCATTTTTCCTTCGATGAAGGAAAGATGACGAGAAATAAATCGATCAAGTCTAATGGGCAAGTTCTCATGTTTAAAAAGGCCATGTTTTACATTTTTGAATTCTGCTTCCACAGTGGCTGAGCTTGCAGTGAGGCTAGTGCTTCTGAAGAGGGGGACCATTACTCCTGTCCAAAGTGGCAAGTAACTTGCAAGTCTTATAATGTGTGGAACAATCTCAGGGAGGAAATGGATGTTATCCCTGTCCCCATTGGCTGCAGCGAGTGACCTGCTCTTCTCGCATATGTTTGATACCCAGTCTCGAAGGTCAGTCTGGATCTCGTCTAAAGGTTCCATTTGATGCACTTCCTTTGTGTCTTCGGCTGGAATGATGGAGTCTTCTGTTATCTGTGTTTTTAGATATTTTTTGCACCTCTCTGATTCCAGAGGAACTCCAGAGCTATCATCACCCTCTGCCTCACTGAGGGCCACAACAGTGATCGCATGTATCAGCTGTTTTGCATGGTCCAAACACTGTGATTGTAGAAGCTTGGCTATTGCTCTGACAAAGAAGTCTTTGACACGGTGTGACTTGTTTCTCAGGCAGTCCCACTGGCAGATCATCTTTATGCAGTGTGCCACATCAACTCTGATAAAACATGGAGGACAGTTTGCTGACTTGTTTCCAAGTAGCAGACGGAAACATTCGTTAATGTATGCCTTCAGATCAGGGTAAGGAGTGAAGGCCCTCACCAGAGCACCGAGAATAGCCAGGGAGAAGTCACTCACGGCTTCCTTTGGTACAGCAGCACCTGTACGAAGCCATTCTGTAAGCCATGTTGCAACTGCATTTATGTCGTGTCTCTCTGACAGCATTTGCACAACTGGGACCGAGCAGTTGTCCCCTGTCAGAACACCTTGATATAAGAAGATGTGGCCAGATGTTCCATTCGGTCTCACCAGTCTTCTCACAACTGAGCCTGTTGCATCAAAGCAAACTACAGAGGGACATTTTTTGGACAATGTGTTATATACATGTAGCTGTGTTGGACTCCAATAGTGGCAGAAGAACTTGTCCAGACCAATGTCTCTTATACTACCACTGTGAGGTGTGCTATGTTTTAATAACTGCAAAGACAAAATGGGATCTTTGTCACCTAATTCCTGATCTCTTCTCTCCTGCTTAGCTTTTCGTAGGGTGGCCAAATTTGGCAGGTGACTTGGCTCAGGATCTCCAATATCCATCAAATCGGATGCCTTCGCTGACCTCCATACGGCTGGCTCCATCCTGCCCTCACACAGGTCTTTTGAAATCTGTGCACGAAGGTTTCCAGACATGAACCTCTTGGACTGCCTAGTGTGCAGGGAGATATTGGTGTCCTCGATGGAACACTGGAGCACCATTGGGCTGTTGACTGTTGGCTCTCTGTCACATGTCATTTTAACATGGCCTTGACACTCTTTACAGAAGCCTTTGATATCTATGTAGTTGCTTGTGACAGTTGGATAAACCTTTGCTCTCTGGAATACAAATGTGCATGTGCTTTTGATCTTTTTCCAGATCAAATGATTAATGACATGAGTCCAAGTACGAGCCTTCAAAATCATATATTCCCTTTTACCAGAAGATGAAAACTTGTCATTATATGCCACTTTTCCAGGTACAAATTTGATTCATTCCTCAAAAGGAACTTCAAGCTGAAACACTGAGCAGTCATCTTGTCCAGGAGAAATAGAGCCAGAGTCACACTCTGTGTCCACACTGCTGTCAGAATCACTTCCCTGCTCATTGATCTCTAAACATGACCAGATGTTGTGTCTGTTTGTTTTTACAAAAGTGTACAGAGCTTTTGGAGACATCTTGTTTTCCAGCTGCTGACTTAATTCTGTCCAAATAGTGGAAGATGGAGTGGCTATTTTGCTATTTTGAAAGATGCCTGTTTTGATTTGCAGAGAAATGCAAAAAGGGAATCCCTGTGTATTGCTGGCGGTCGAGGCATCTAGTTAAAGAATAAAAAGGCTTTGGTTAGCATTAACAAAAGTATTCTGGCCTGTATAATTGCACAAGCTTTATTCCAGCATTCTTTCACAACTCAATTTATGTTTAAATTAGTATTCTCTCTTACATCTGTGTGACATTTATGCTGAATTGTGATTACGCATTTTTTTTCTGTTCAACATTGCATTTTTTTTTAAATCACTGATGTGAAATTTCAATTAATTTCAATTGAAGTATCTGTTCTAAAAATTGTCCTGTCTGGGCTATTGATGTTCCTTAACATCCATGACTGAATATGAATGTAAAAGCTGCAAGATTAAGCCTTGAAGAATCTGTTTAAATCTGTTTAAAAACTCTGGACTTAAAACGTAATGAAATTGTGGATATACAGAAATATATATGTAAGGGACACAACCATGCGTCCTTCTCTGCTAATCGGGGCTGGATTGCAGTCCCAACAGTTATTCAGTGTTTTATCTAAAACCTCAACATTAGTAGTTTACTTACCTTGTAAAAATAAAGTTCAACAGAGGGTTGGGCAATAGAAGGATTTTAAATTTTTCTTCAAGACACTATTAAATGTTTTAACAGCTACTTTTCCATGGAAAATGTTGAATGGGAAATTCAGATTTCTCTTGCTTTACTGCCAAAAAGTCACCTGCTCACTGAGGTGAGGGTCGTGATGGTCATCACGTGGGCGGAGCCAATCCCTATGACATTATGTGAAAACGTTAACATATCAAAGTTGCCAAATGTTCAATGCTCTTTTCCAAAATTCTTACATTAAATGTCAATAGAACTTAAAGCTCGCTGCATATTAAATTGTATTTAAACAAAAGTAAATCACTTGGATAAATGAACTTTCAGCCAATGACATACGTGCCATGCACTTCCGGTTTTGTTCCCATCCATCCCATTTATGAGAAAATATTACTGTTGAAAAAGCAAAATGCAGGCTATTGGACTTGGTTGACTTTGCCATCTAAAGCATATGTCTTTAAATGAGACAAAAAAACAAAATTTAAAATCTTTATTAAGGAATAAAGTGCGAACTACATGAGAAGGCACACATTTTACAGCAGCACATAAAACAGCATTTAACTTGCATGATAAAAACAGAATTAAGAAATGCTTTCTTTGTGGTGTTGATGTTCAGTGAAAACCACAGACGTCATCAATTTAAGTCATCGCTAATGACCTGAAAGAAAAATCTATATCTCATAAACTAAAGCTGCACAAACGCTAGTTTCACCGGAACAA